ATTAATTAAATGTTCAAAAAAATTTTTTTTTCCAAATTTTCTTCCCAACCCCACCCCTCCCACAAAAACAATATTATAATTATCCAATACTAGAATCGTCAAAATTATTTGAAATACTATTAATATAATAATCAGCATCATCATCTACCTCCTCATTTCCATTATTGCTAACAATATTTACATATCCAGAATATATTTCATTATGATCTTCTTCATAACCGTAATCATTTATTATATTATCATCATCGTAATCATAATCATAATCATTATGATATTCTTTCTTCACATCATTTTGATTGATATCACCATTAACATTATGATATTCTTTCTTCACATCATTTTGATTGATATCACCATTAACATTATGATTTTCATCTCCTTCTTCTTCTTCCTCCTCCCCCTCCCCTCTTTCATTCCCTTCAAGCATACGAAATTCTTGCAACATTCTCTGAATCTCACTGTTTGTCGATACATTTTGTAGAAATTGATGCTAATTAAATAATAGTTGTTTAATTAGTATGTATTATTAATAAGAAATGTAATTATTCAATTTAATATTTTAAATAATAGCAGGATTGTTAATAATAATATTTTTGCATAATAATACGTACTGTTAACAATTCATCTGCAGATTTTCGTTTAGTTGTATCAGTTTCTATACAATTGGCAAGGAAATCCTTGAATATTTTTGTCCATCTCTCAGGATTAACTAAATCAGGAATTCCATGTTTGGCTATCATTACAACTGCCTATTATAAAAATAAAAATAATAGTTGATTAAATAAATGATAAATAAATTGGTCTCATAACATGCAAAAAAATTTTTTTACCTTCAATCCGGGATGTTCAATGTATGGTGGATCTCCTTCGGCCATTTCAATCATCACAATACCAAGACTCCAAATATCAGCCTTGGTGCCATATTGTGACCCTAATATAACTTCTGGTGCCATCCAATATGGCGTACCTACCACTGAATCACAATAAGGTTGTTTGTCGGTCAATTGTATAGATTGTGCGAAATCAGCTATAAAGTAATAATAAATTAATGTCATCATTATTATAGTTAAATTTTCTTTAAATTCTAGGAATTAACATTATGAATTATCTTTGAATTATTTTATTACCAATTTTAATGTCACCGTTATTATTTAATAATATATTATCGCTTCGAATATCTCGATGAATGACTCGTGATTTGTGTAAATATGAGATGCCTTTTAGTGTTTCTCTCATAAATCTTGCAATTTGAAATTCGTTGATTTTTGGACCATCAGGATACATCGATATAATATCAGCCAATGATGCTTCCATACATTCCATCGCTACCCAAAGTGAATCAACAGTGTAGTAACAACCAATATATTCAACTATATTTGGATGTTGACTTGATTTCATCCTCATTAATTCATTCTTTACAACATCCAATTTATTTGTTTTCTCGTAAGGAATAACCTTAATTGCATCCTAAATATTATTATTATTATATTACAATTAATGCTATTTTATTTTTATCATAGTAGTAATGATAATTATGATAATAATTGAAATTATTATTTTACCATCCTATCAGCATTTTTTTGTAATGCTGAATATATTTCTCCAGAATCACCTTCAGCAATCGGTAACATGTTATCGTAAATTTCATTTGGTTCTCCAATATCCAAAATTTCAACTAAAAAATAATTTTAATAATTTTATATAAGTAATGATAATGGTAATGATATTAGCAATAACAAACTTTGAAACAAACCTAAATGACGAATTTCTTTCGGTAACAAATCAGGATTTATATAGGATTGCACTGAATCATCATCATTCTGTCTTATCGATGATGACGTTGATATTGGCATTGATAAAGGCGTTGATATGGATGGTGATGTGGATGGTGATATTGTTGGTGACGGTGATGTCGATTCTGTGATTGCTGAATACTTTTTTGAAAACGATGATTTTTCTTTTTGTTCCTTTTCATATGGAATATTTGATAATGATGAACTTTTTTTAATAGAAGAACTTACTATTACATTCAATTTGTAATTATTATTATTTGCATTATTATTGTTATTGCTAGCAGAATCGTTCATAGAGGGAAGGTAATTGGGCAAAGAATTGGTAGAAGAACGTAATTTTTTATCTTGTTTTAGACTCAATAAATCATTTTTTGCACCAATATTACCATCATCATTATTATTATCATCATCATTATTAGTATATCCTTTACTTTCTATAATATTTTCATTATTTATATACAATGCTGGCAGTGAACCAACACTATATTGTTTTTTATTGTGAATATTCTTGATATAGTCTTTTTGCGAACTAGAAATTGAATCTGATAAATACTTTTGTGATGTAGTAGTGGTTGTAGTAATTGTAGTATTTGGTATGTTAAATTTGGATTTTTTAGGTGATGATGATGATGATGATGATGATGATTCTTCCTCAACTTTTTGGCTAATTGGTCGGGCTTTATTTTGTCTGTGGGGAGGTCTTGGAGGTGGTTCAATTTTTTTTGTGGTAGGAATTGGTGGAATTACACCTACTTTTAGAGGATTGTTATTGCTGTTGTTGTTGCTGTTGTTACGTGGTGGTGGAAGTATAGGTGATGTGGGTCGATAGTTAGGTGGTGGTGGAATATTAATTATTTCTGCGCCACGAGAATCTCTTATTTTATAAGGTGATTTTTGTGAAGATGGAATCGGTGACATTGGTCTGTCACGCGACGATGGATTTGGTGACAGTGGCCTGTCTCGTGAGGATGGAATTGGTGACGTTGGCCTGTCACGCATTGTTATAGGAGAATAAGGATAATCACTTGTTTTTGAAGTGGAAGAAATAGGCCTATCTTTATTATTATTTATTATTGAACTTGTAGAATCCCTTAAATGCGTAGTGTTATTATTTGAAGAAGAAGAAGAATTTGAGTATTTTCTTGGAGAAACAGGACTGTTGATAAATGAATCATTGTTATCGCTATTATAATTATAATTATAATGATTTTGATTTTGAGACGAATAACTAGTTGTGTTATTGATGGTAGATTGGGATTCTTTTATTGGGGAAGACAAACTAGAAGTCCTTGGTAATCTTGGAGAAGCTATCGAAGGAGTGTCGTAATATGTGTTGGTGAAAGGAAATGAGCTGGTTGATTCATTTGCAGAATTTTGTGAACTTGCCGAACCTTTTCTTTGACTATTTATATTATTATTACTGTTTCTGTTGTGATAGTTCGGTGAATCTATTAATTCCGAAGAATTATTAAATAAGTCATTTGGTTGAGTGTGATAAAGAGAAGGACTTGAATATTTTCTGACAGGAGATTTTAATAATGATGCTGAACCTTTCCTTATTAAGGTTGGATAATTGTTGCCATTGTTATTGTAATTGTCAGCATTGACATTAAGAGTTGATGGGGCGGGAGAAGGTGATGGAAGTATGTAAGGTTGTGGAGTGTGAGAACCCAAGGATACAGAACGCTGATGTGCAATATTAGTAATTGAAGATAAGGAGGAAATTTGACGTTGCTGATTATCATTTGCTAACATATGTAATAATCTATTTACTGCTTCGGGACGATTTTTAAAATCATCTTCGGTAATTCCTGCAGATTCAAGTTGGGCCTTCCATTCTGGCGGTATAACCTATTTGGTTTGGTTTTTGTTTGTATAATATTTTATCGATTTATGTATAAATTAAATTTGAATGGGTTGCTAAATAATTAATTATTTGTTTACGTATTTATATATGAATAATTAAAAATCGCACTGAATGAATTTATTTGGACATACCATAAATCCAGCTTCATCAAGTCCAACATGTACATTATGTTTAAAATTATAGGGTATTCCTATATTTTTACCCGGTGCTCCATTTCCATCTATTTATTAATATATAAATATAATAATATGAATTAAAATTTTTAAAATAATAAATATTATTATTATTAACGGAGGGAAAGGAAATACCAGATGGTTCAAGAGTTGGAACTAAAAGTGGATTTATATATTTTGTATTAAGTATATCATCACTTGGTAAATTTTTTTGCCAAACATCTGGCAATCCCTAAGGATATGAATGAATAAGTAAATGAATGTATAGATTTTATAAGGAATGAATGGTGAAATAAATGAAATTTAATAAATAGCAAGTATTATTATTATAATAATAATAATAAAAATAGAAATTAAAATTAATTAATTATACTCGATACTTACCACGAATTTGCCACTTTCGTTATTATATTCTACATGAATTCCATGTTCAAATTTTGTTGGCTTACTAATCTCAAATATTTTATCGCTTCTTTTTTTCTTTTTTCCATTATGATTAGTGTGATTGAAGTGAGGACTAGTGGATTGAGCTTGAGTAGCAGTAGGTCTTGAATTTATTAGCTTTGAAGTTGGTCTATCATGACTAAACTGTTTGTAAGCCTGGGTGTCACTTGACTTACTTTCATCAGAGTGGGAAGCTCCACTACTGTTTGAGGACACCTGTGAACCCAGCTTGACTATTTTTCCTTTTAAGCAAACCAACTTGTATATATATTTGTGTGTGTATATATATATATTAATTTATATATATATACTGACTGTTATGTGTTGTATATTGTAGACGAATAATTTTTATTATGGCACCTTTTTTTTCGTTAATAATTGTTTCGTTAGTTATTTCACTTCACTTTTTCTTGTGTATTTCTTTTTTTGTTATTTGATTGACCAAACAAATTAAAAAATTTATATATATATATATATATAGGAAAGTTGTAATAATTTATAAATAAATTTATTTACAATTATAAATATAAAGGTAGTACTTACTAATCAAATTTTTGATATTCGTGTGACTTCAAATATAAGTTTTATTATGTTACTCCGGTAATCCCTGACCAATAAAAAATCAATCAATCTTTTCTCTTTCATTTCCTCTTCTCATATTTCATTCATTCACACATATATATTCACTTTTTACTAAGGACACATAGTAAATTATTAATTAAAATGACAAGTTTTTATGATGAAGTAGAGATTGGTAAAGTTTTTGATCTCGCTGATTTGAATTTTCCACATTTGATTCATTTGTTAAATTGTTTTGTATTTTCCGAAAATAATGTTTAGAAGATTTTGAATTTGAGGAAGAAACAAAAACATATCATTATCCTTGTCCGTGTGGAGACCGTTTTGAAATCACATTGGTATAGCCATAATAATAATAAATAATAAAAATAACGATGATGATGATATATAAATATATATATAAATATATATGTATAAGTATTAATAATAATTACATTTTGTATAAATAGGAAGACTTAATGGATGGAGAAGACATTGCACGATGTCCAAGTTGTTCATTGATGGTTCGCGTAATATATGATTTAGTAAGTGATCAAATTATTATTTTGATATTTATTATGGAATGATTTATCGTTAACTAAATATGATTATTATTATTAGGATGAATTCCAGTGTAATAATAATGTCGGACAATTAGTTGATAAATCAATAGCTGTTTAAAATATATTTATTGTAAAATACAGAGCAAATTTTATTTATACACAGGTTTTTTCTAGAAAATAATAAATAAATATTTTAGCAAAATAAAAAATACAAAATAATATTTACAAATAAGAATATTTATTATTATGTTTCAATATTGATTATAAAAGTCAAATTGTATTCATATTATTAAATTTATTCAATATTTCATTTAATTGTATATCTTGTTTTTCTGCCTCCTCCTCCTCTACCTCCTCTTTTGCTCTTTCTTCTTTGATTTTAAATATTGGGAGAAAATTAAATTGAAGTCAATTAATTAATTTATTGATCAAATGAATTAAAGAAAGGGAGAGAACTTACCATATTTTAAAGTTGAATTGTCAGGATTAATAGATGAAGATATTGATAAGTTACTACTGTTGCTAATTATATTATTATTATTATTACCACCAATATTATTATCACTACTATTAATATTAGCATTAATATATTCATTATATTTTCTTATTTGTTCTTGATGTTGAAAATTAAAAAAATATCCATTTTCTCTACAATTATTATTGTTGCTATATTTATCATAGTAAGAATTTTCATTATTTAATGCTAAGGGTGTTATTGGTGTCATTGAACAAGATATTGGGCGAAGAAGTGGGCTTGGTCCTGGACTTGGAGTTGAGCTGGTACTTCTTGGAGGTGTTAAAGAATTTAAACCTGTCAGCTCATAATTAATAAGGCTATTAGCATTGTGAATAGTAGTAGTAGTAGTAGTAGGAATAGAAGTGTTGTTGGCAGTGAAATTTATTTGAAGTGGATCAATAATGAGATGAAGTGAAGTGTTGATGTGATGCTGTGATTGTGATTGTGAATGAGAAGAAGGTAATTTATTATTATTATTATTATTATTATTATTATTATTATTATTATTATTATTACAATTGAAGTTGTTCAATGTTAAATTTTCTGCTGTTGCTGCTGATTCTTGAACTGTGAAACTCATTATAATAAATATTCTGAATTTGAAAAAAGGAATAACGGCGGCGATAATAATAATAAATGCTACTGCTAGCTGTGCGACCACTCAAAAAATGGAATGATGTCTAATCTGAAATCTTGTGGTGCATGCAATTTTTAATCCAATACATTGGATTTATGGTAAATTCCAAATATTAAAATAACATAGTCAATGAAAGTTTGATAGTTCAAACATCATTTGTTGACTCCATATTCGTTTCTTTAGCTTCTGACATCATTTATCGATTTGTTGTTTCATACAAAATATATAGAAATTTCGATGTGTAACCAATCAGGTTTAAAAAAATTTATAATTAAGTCATTATAGTTTTCTAATGAATTCTGTTCATGCTGATAGAGGCTCTCTATGTAAAGCTATAGTTATTCAAAAGCAGCATTACTTTCACTTCAAATTTATATTTACGCAAATAAGAAGAGTATGGGCAGGAGAGGAGATCATCAGTTGTAATAACCAAAAAGAGATAATTAATCTTCAATTGCGGCGATTTGGTTGATAAACTTCAAGATATAATTTTTTCTAGATGAAGGAATAAATTTGTGCAGAATTTTCTGAACAAAAATATACATGTGTGAATAATAATTCTATATATATATTTGTAATTGATTAAATGCCCATGTACACTTAAACCATTAAGCATGATATACTTTCCTTTTAACAAATTAGATTGTAATCTAATTTGTGTTGGGCAAGGAGCCCTTGGATTGCATTACCTTGATATTACCAAGTTGATGGAGTGTTCTTGATGGATCCATATTGAGATTGATTGTTCAGTTTTTTGATGAAATATTTGTGTTTTGTTGTTGTTTTTATTATTATTTATTATATCATTATTTTTAATGTTGTTGTTATTGACATTATTATTGTTGTTGCTGATATTTTTTTTTATTTGGTTTTTTTTTCTTTTTAATTTTTTAATTTATTTATTGGTTATATTGTTTATTTTCCCCATTTCAATTAGTATTGTTTTCCATGTGTCTCTAATGAATATTGAGATGAAGATGTATGTTATTGAATTTGTTGTAAAGTGTGTTGAGGCAATAGAAAGTTTCCCATTTGGGCAATTAACATTGTCATTCATTATTAGTAATTTTTTATTTGATGGTATTGCCAATACTATGTGAAATATGTTCAATAGTCCAACTTTTTTTCTGTGTTTATAATTTCAGTACTAAAAATAATTGTATCTGTGATGTTTTTGATTAACCAGCCTGTTGCATTTGGGAAATTATGTTTTTTTCAACTTCCATCATACTTGGAAAAGATGGTAAAATTTAGGGTCAACATTATTTAAAATATAGGAAGTTACTAACATTCAAACCACCATAACTTTTTTTGTGATGGTTTTCAAAGATGATGCATAAAATTGGTCAGGTTTAGATGACTCAAGCTATACAATGATTTGTTATTATATGGGGCATGCTGCAACAAAACCAGACAAAGTGAACATTGGCATTACCGATGATTTCAGGGATCAAAATTTAGTCATTTTTAAGGTGATTAATGTGATTACAATTAACAGTTTTATAATATCCTATTTGTTATCTTAAGTGATATATAGAACTATCCCTATATAAAATAATTAATATGAAGTTAATTTATATCAGATCTACTATGGAACCCAAGAATTATAGTACTATCAGAAGTATTTTGAAGAAAGAACAAGGCGAAAAAATAGCACCTTACATTTTCAAAATAAATGATACTCAGACACTGAAAGCTTATCTAAGAAAAGAAAAGATTACTTATGAAATTTACCAAGAAGAAAGAAAAATAATAAATGTTGGAAAAAGAAAGCAGCATGAAGATGCATTATTACCTAACAAAAAGCCAAAATCCTTAAAAGGAAAATAACTTGTTTTCTTTGATAGTTGGAATGAATTTCATTTATATTAGAGGAAAATACTTCCTCAATCCTCTTTAAAATTACTTTCTTATTTTCAATCAAGGTCATTTTTTGACTTCAATTTGAGCAGTTTGTTGGGTCTGCTGTTTTCTTAGTCATTCAACCTCAGTTTCAAGTCTTTGAACTTTATCTAATAATTCTTGCCTTTGCTTACTATGCCAATCTTTTGAAACTTCTAAGGCTTCCAAATGAGAACTGATTTCTTCCTTAGCACTGTATAGTTGCTGTTTTAAGTCTTTATTTTGCTGTTCTAATCTACCAACATAACTCTGTGCCATTATTTCTGTTATTGTTGGAGTTTTAACTGGTTCATCTTTCCTTAAATCACAGAAACAATCTATTCTGTTTCTCATAATTCGACCACAATCACTACAATATGATAGAGTATCATCATCAAGAGCTTTTTTACACTCTATACAGATATAAGCAATATCATTGTAATTATTACTACTTCTATTGTAAGATACTATTTTGTAAGTAGCAGTCAGACTTCTTTCTCTTTCAAAAGGGCAGAAGTTACAATTCCATTTATCCTCTCTCCTTAACTCGCTAACTTGGTATTCTAATTTCATACTATTTGTTCTTTTGTAAGATATAGGCATTAAATTTTTCTCTAGTTATTTCTTTTAATTGACTAGTTTTTTTCTTTAGTTTATTGGTTAGGAGTTTAAATTTATTTTCTTTCCTTGGTAAAACTGGCAGTTCTTGAAGTTGCTTGTCTGCTAAATATTTTTGTCATGCCACAACATTTTCTAATACAGTCGGCGCTCGATATAGTGAAGTTTTGGCTAGTACAAATTTAGAAACTATCTGCGTTAATATCCAATCAAATTCAATTTTTCAGAAGATAGTTTCCAAATTTGTACTAGCCAAAACTTCACTATATCGAGCGCCGACTGTAACTCTATTTTTCTCAAAGCTTTTTCTAAGTTGTCATCTTTTTCTTTGCTTTGTCTTATTCTCCACTGTCTAGCCAATTCAAGAGCATCTAAATGACATTCAGATGTTTCTTCCTCTAATTCTAATGCTTCTTCTAACTCTTGTTTGGTTATCTCTAACTCAGCAACACTTTTTTCTAGAATAGCATTCTTTTCTTTTAGTTCTTGTTTTTCTTGATAAGTAAAACTAAAAATTTCTTCATAATTTTGTGCTTGTTTAGAAAAACTTTGAACAATATTTTCAACAGTGAATTCACTGTTAAAAACAACTCTTCCAATTTCAATTCCATCCTTTTCTGGATAACTTACTCAACCATTGTTAGGTCAAGTGGATCTTTCTAAAGTTCTTAAAGTTACACCAGTATATTCTGAACTCTCAATAAGACTATGAACTGCATTTCAAATTCTTAGTTTAAAGTTCTCTTCTTTATCAGCTAATTGTTTTTTTAATGTTTTGATTTCTTCTAATGAGTTTTTATTTGCTTGTTGTTGTTCATTTATAATGTTTACCATGATTTTTTGTTAATTATATTCTTCAATTTTTAATAAATACTTAATTCGTGGTCCGCCGATCAACGATAGAAATTGATTAGTAAAAACCGGGCGATCGGCATATATAAATTTAAAAAAATGTATCGAGTGACGAAAGTTGTATATTATGAAAAATTATTTTTTTGTTATACAAAGTCACATGAAATCATGCAAAGTTATAGATAGGAACTTGATTTTTTAAAAAATGTAAAAATTATCTATTTTATTATTTCAAAATAAATAATTCGCTTTGGAGGAGCTGTGGATTCCGGGTATAAAATATATATAAAAAAAATTATTTTTTTTTTTCAAAATTTGAAGTTTTTTTAAAGTTTATTGAATTTTAATAAATTTTTTTAAAAAACATAATATAATTCAGTTGAACAATGCTT